ATATTTACATACTACTAGGAACCCTATATTTTGTCTCCAAGTTAGCCAACGGTTATAACACTGTCGACTCTTGCGGAAAAATCCAACATTTAAAGATTTTCATAAATGACCGTCACATCGTCGTCTAAGAAATACATGCTAATCACGAAACGCTTGTTAACCACCGAGACATGTATGTTTAATATCTCAGAGCGTATTATTTAATATCTTCTAAATATTAATAAATGAAAACGACCAGATCGGGGAAACGAGCCGACTGCGTTTATAAAAAGTAAAATTTAGTAAATCCGAAATTATTTTTCTGTTAGGGAAACCAACCCATGGAAAGATATTTGATCGGAACAATAAAATGTTGAACTATTGTAGAAACTCGGTAGAGTTTCGCGCCAAATTCATTTTATTGAGAGACTCGTTTGGTTTAACCACAGAACACGAACAACCGAACATTCGACCAACGTGACAAAATTGTTTGGTCGATAACTTTGAGTGATTACATCCAATATTCCAATAGCGCCTAGCAAATATTGAAATAGTTTGGGACGTTTGACCAAAATATTTGGTTCGTTGATGAAATTCAGCCGCTCTTTGGAGCGAATCGACTTTCCCTTCTAACTCGTTTATGCACAAAAAAAGTAACGATAACGAGTAAAACGGATTCGGGGAGGCCGAGCTTACGAAAATCGGAGTATCCTTTGTAATTTCCCTTAGTTTCATCCCGACAAAAGTAACGATAAAAGAACGATGACGTACGTTACAATATCTACGAGTAATTATCTATTGCTATTAACTGTAGAGAAAACGATGAAAAACCTAACCTAGACCACAATAGTTACAACTTAGGATTTAAATTTCGTTGTTTCATTTTTACAGTTCGCTCTCAATGTAAAAAGTAGAAAGACCTATTTAAATCTCGCGCCACATTTTGACGCGGTAATATGTCCCCCCCAAGTTCCCATGCCCGGCCCGGTCCCCTCTATTCCTATGTGCAAGGTTATGTAGATATAATACGTCATATAACAGGTATACGCAATTTTCTCCGCGTATATTACAACGTATAATGCGTTCCTAGTTTTCAACGCGAGCGCAAAGTACGTTACCCCCTTTCTATTTCTAAATAGAAAATAATAAATCCAATTAGAAATTTGATATTAGACTGGGTCAAGTCGAAAGAATTTTGAAAACAAGCGCCAAATTAATTATTCCTTCAACATTTTTACCTGTTTACCCCTGCGGTAAAAGACGTTTATAACCAGCGGATACATATATCGGGCATCTACGGCATCCGCCATATTGAAAACGTAAAATTCTAAAGAGTTTTGAACGCAAGCGCCAAATCAATGTATTACTCCATAAAAATATTTACGTGTTTACATACGTGCTAAAAGACGTTTATAACCTAGCGGGTGGCGTGTATCGCCCTCCGTATTGGAAACATAATTTACCGGTTTTCTATGATTTTCTCGGATAAACTACGAGTCTTATAATATACGTGAAAAACCTCGAAAGGCGGGAAATTACCCAACCCTGCCTATGTCCATGGTCTAGCCGAAAGGGCCGCTCTGGCGTAATTTCCGGGGACGACTCCGGCGCGCGTCTCTCTCTTTCTCTCTCTTTCCTCGCCGCTCCCTCTCCCGGCGACGCGCTGGACCGTCCCGTCTCTTTCGCAGTCGTTAAGGCGACGTATTCCGATGTCGCAACGGTCCGCGTTCCGCGGCGGGGGCCAAGGACGGAGAGCGGCCGGCGCGGCGCGTAGGTGCGAACGCGGAGGCGGGCACGGTAGGTGTAGTCGCGGGGGTAGATCGGGCAGAGTGTCGACTCTTTCGAACCACGCCTTATGTTTGCGTCGCCATGCGTGCCACGCACCTCCTACCGCTCCGCTCCGTCCCCTCCCGCCGGCACGCATCGCGGCTCGCGCGCGCACACCCACGGACGCGCTCGAGCGCGGAAGGTGCGCTCCCGCGCCCCCCTCCGCGCGCACTGCCGACCCGACCCGCATCTCGGGCGCCTCTCCTCGCCCCTCCCTCGTCCCTCGGCCGGCCACGAGCGAGTGAGCGAGCGAGCGAAGCACCCGCCACGGTCCGCGGTAACGAGGGGTTGCTCGCCCCGCCAGGGACGCTGCCATTGGTCCGCCGGCCCGTTGCGAGACCCCGCTCGATTTTCGACACCACGGCTACTCCCCTCCCCTCCCTCGAGATCCCGCGAGATCCCTCTCGCCTGACCCGAGATTTCCGTTGCCCTACGGGGACGCGGGGCGCCCCACGGTCTGCGTTCCGCGAATCCGGCCGGACGGAAGTCCCGAAAACGGCAATTAGAGCATCCTCTTTTGACCTTTGAAAAATCAAACCTACGGACAGACTGTGAAGGCTAAGTACGAGAACAGACCGGAAGGACGATTAAGGTGAAGTGAAAGCCCTCTCTGTCGTTTCGAATAAGACGCTTTTTTTTTAAGTATTGGATCGAACCGTCTGAAAGGATATAAAACGATTTGTGGCACCCAGTTTGAAGAAAAGTTTTATGAACGATTGAGCTTTCGTATGCCACTTTCGCATCCCCTTGATGCCTCTGTCTGATCGCTCGACTAACACAAGTCACTTTGTACGTTTTTGTACAGAGTAATTTTATGTTTTGTATAATCATAGATTCCCGCGATAAAATTTAGAGCGCAATAGATTGCACGTTTCAAAACCAAGGGTATCTTTACAGATACCCTACCAGATATCTGAAGGAAGGCTTTTGTTTACTTTGAACCTAGTAATAGCATTATAAAGTCACGGCTATTTATCCTGCTATTGCGAAATTGACGCGACCTTCAAATATTAAAANATATAATTTTGTTCCGTTCTCGAAAAACGTTAGAGAGGGCGCTGGCGTCAATGCCTCGCGACCTACTCGAGCGGCAAGCTCGTCAGTCGGGGACGCCCTCTTCGACGCGGAGGAACGAGTGGCCGCCATCTTGGAAGGGAACGCGCCACGAGGGAGGGACTTTGCGTCAAAGGACGCGTCCTGGCGGGTTCCGGGGACCCGGACGGCGTCGGGCGTAATTACGGGATCGCCGCCGACTCGTCTGGCTTGGACGAGGCGAGCAGGGACCGCTCTTTTGATCCGAAACTTATGCCCGAGGAAAAAAGAAAGGTCGGAAAAACCGCAATTGTGACTACCATTTTGCGGGCCAAGCGTAACCATTTTGCGGAGCGACCCTCGAGATAACCTCGGCAGAAGGTCGTGGCAACCGGCGCAACGCGGTACAAAGAACAAGGTAAGGGCCATTCCGTCCTTTGGTCAAGGTAACTAATAGGTACGCGTTGTCGTAAGTTTGGGTTTATCGTAATTTGCGTAGTCGATATCGTCGCGTCAAACGGTAATCGCTGGCGAAACTTTTTAGGGCATCGCCATGGGGACGGTAACTATCGGCAGGGTTATGTTTACCCTGTTAAAAATATTAATAAAATTCATACACCCTTTAGTACATAAGGCTGGGGTTAAATAATAAATAGCATGTATTAAATGTGAATTACTGTGCATTTATGATAAACTTGGAAATAAATTTGTAATTTTGTAACGTAGTATTAGGATCTTCTGAAATATTGTAGATGAACGAGGACGAAAGTGAGGATGAGGTGGAAATGTTGCAAAATTAGGACACCGTGTCTTAATGAAATTGCCAACAAAAATTGCGTAAAGTTTTGATAAAAAGTTTAACGGTTTAAAGTTTGTTTAACAGTGTACCGTTTGACGCGGTCGGTTTCATCATCCGTGCGGTTCGAATCACCGCGATATCGTGATCGCGGAAAATGACGGAACGTCCGCGACGAACTTTCCTCCCGGTGACGTCCTCCCGTACCGCGGTGTGGACGCGCCGTGGACTAACGATTGGACGAGTCGGGTACTCTAACACGTTAAACTCGAGTGAAGCTGTATTCGAGTCATTGTCATGGTAACTCCAGTTATTGGTCAATGCAAGTTACGAGGGGAAGAGGGACATCGAGATACCAAACGCGCATTATTTGTTTATTCGAGTAATCGTTATTCGAATCATTTTCCTCCAACTCGCCTCAGACTCGACTCGTCGCATCGAATGTATGCGGCGTCGAGTCCAAACTCGAGTTGGCAATGCTTTTGAACTCGAGGAACTCGAGACGCTGTTAATCGAATCGTTTTCCTCTCCAACTCGCTTTTGACTCGACTCGTCGCATCGAATGTATACGGCATCAATTCGTCGACTCGAGTCCAAAAACTCTAATTGGCAATGCTTCCGAATTTGAGGAACTCTAGTCGGCATTTCTCGAGTCGTTTAACTCGCCAACTCGCCGTGGACTCGACTAGTCGCATCGAATGTATGCGGCGTCGAGTCGTCGACTAGAGTCCAAACTCGAGTTGGCAATGTTTCGAATTCGAGGAACACGTGCCTTTGACTCGATTCGTCGCGTCGAATGTTTGCGGCGTCGAGTCGTCGACTCGAGTCCGAACTCGAGTTGGCAATGCTTTTGAACTCGGGGAACTCGAGACACTATTAATCGAATCGTTTTCCTTTCCAACTCGCCTTTGACTCGACTCGTCGCATCGAATGTATGCGGCATCGAGTCGTCAACTCGAGTCCAAAAACTCGAGTTGGCAATGCTTTCGAATTCGAGGAACTTGAGCCTTTGACTCGATTCATCGCGTCGAATGTATGCGGCATCGAATCGTCGACTCGAGTCCAAACTCGAGTTGGCAATGCTTTCGAATTCGAGGAACTCGAGTCGCCGTTAACCGAGTCGTTTAACTCGCCGTGGACTCTCCTCGCCTCGTCGAACGTCCGCGGCACCGAGTTATCGACTCGAGTCCAAACTCGAGTTCGCGATGCGTTCGAATTCGAGGGACTCGAGTTGGTAAAGTATTCGACTCGTCGGCCCGCTACCGCGGACGAGTCTCGACGGGGATTCCGAGGGTTACCTTATGTTCGTTCCTTCCTTTTTCTCGGGTCGCGCGGTACGCGGAGGTCGAGAATCGGAGCGACTTACCGTTCTCGGATTTCGGCGGCACCGGCTCGATCTTGACGGCGGTCGTCGTCGCGTGGAGAGACGTCGACACCTCGGCGACCTGGCAGGGCACCGAGGCGATGGGTTCCCTCTTGACGACGCTGCCGTTGGCGCAGCTGTCCTGCCCGTTCCAGGACGACACCACCGGCAGGGTCCTGCTACATCCGGCGTCCGAGTGCACGGTCTTCGTCTTGCCTGGAGAGAACGCGAGCTTTGCACCCATCGGAAGTAACTCAACACCCAAAGAGGCGTTCCGCCTTCGCATCCGTTCTCTCTTTAGCGACAAACGATCTCCGTCGGAGGTTACTTCGAGGCTCGTTTCTTTGAGAACGCGCCAGGCCGTTTCCCGGCGCGAGACCGGAAAACTTGGCAGAGACTTCGCGCGATCTTTTGTAGAAGCTCGAGCTGTAATTACGTGCAACGGAGGCGGATCTTTAAGGAAAACTCACCGTTGCCGTTCCTGCAGGCGCAAGGTTGCCTGGCCTTGTTCTCCAGCTTGACCGGCTGACCCTGACTGGGCAAAAAGGCCTCGCGCTTCTTGGAGTTGGCCTGCGAGGTGCCACCCTGGACCACCATGGTCCCCGTGCAGCTCGTCGAGGTGGTGGAGCAGGAGGAAACGTTCGCGGTGCATCCCGAGGTCGGCGATTGGTATTCCTGAAGGAGCACTCCGGAGTTCTGCGTCGAACCGCCGCCGGAGCTCGGCGAGAACCCGTTGATGGTCAGGGCGGGACCGCTTCCGGTCACCAGGGACAGTTGCGGGGAAAACGTGCTCTGATGGAGACCACCTTCAAAGAACGAGAAACGGATGACTCGTGCCAACCGTCCCCGGAGAACCGAGGAACCCGAGTCGACAATTTTAGCCCTTTCGTTACCTTGGACGAGATATCTCGCGACCCAATACTGGTCGATTAACGCTTTTGACGAGATATCTCGCGACCCGATACTGGCCGATCAACGCTTTTGACGAGATATCTCGCGATCCGGTAGTAGCGGATTAACGCTTTTGACGATAATCTAGCTTTCTAGCACCAATATTTTGACATTCTAGATGAATATATTTTATAACTAATTCTATTCGTATAGCTAAAAGGAAGAAATAAATACAGTTTTTATTAATTTAATGAAATTATTTTTATTTACTTTCTACGTGGTATAATTGAAAACATGGTGTTACGTATAAAGCGACTACCGGGTCGCGAGATATCTCGTCAAAAGCGTTAATCGGCCAGTATTGGGTCGGGAGATATCTCGTCCAAGGTAACGAAAGGGTTAAGGTGATACGAATGAGTCAGCCTATATATATCTGAGAAATCAAATCGTCGGGGAAAGTATTCTCCGAATTGGGGTCCCGATTCGTTTAAAATTTTACCACGGGAATATGGAAGCCCTAAAGTAGGTCCTAAAACTCATGAAATTTCATTTTTCATCAAGAATTTATTTACTTATCATGGACTAGAACCAACATGGCGGGGTCCGGACACGTTTTCGATGTTTTATGCTTCTTGGAAGCTTAGAATCGAAAATGAAGAGTTTCAGGACCTACGTCGAATAATTTAGAATACCTCAGAAATGGAATATTACAGAGTCATATGGGAAAATATGGAAAATACTTTCAGCAACGATTGCAAGAGAATGCTGGCTTGTCCCGGGGAAAACACGTGTTTTTAGAGCAAAAATTTAGTTGCAGCTAAACGTCACAGATGGCGACGTTGGTCCTAAACAGTCGTTAGAACAATGAATTCCCGGGATTTCGACAGTTTTACGTCGATCTCTTCGTCATTACTTTACCGAAATGACATATGGAACGATTCAGTTCGTATAATTCTCAACGTAGACTGTAAAAGTCTTCAACATAAATATAAATGTCGGGAACGGGACGCGCCAGCTTAAGTTCCCACTTGAGTATTCAAAATAACCTAATCATAAAAAAGGGTATAGATGAATTTTAATTTATCGACCTCGATTAAATTTTCTCACCGCCTTTCATATCATCTTAACCTCGCGTAAACCTCGCGAACGCGTGGAAAGATAACGCGAGAATTTAGGATACGAGGATGCGAACGACGTCGACCTCGTTTGAACCTCGAATATGCTCTTATCTTCGATTTGTCTAGAATCGATGCACGAATAAACATTGGATGATCATAATGATGACTCGATTAAACATCGGAAATCTCAATTTTTAAATACTCGATCGAGCTTCGTCCTTCTTCTCCGGCTCTGACCCAGAAATAAAGTTAACGAAGTTTTATGTAAATTATAAACATAGAATTGTAAAGTTAAATCTTACGCGTTTAACCCTTTTAGTGCCGGGCGAAAAAGAGGTGCTTATGCCAAGATAACCGGCCGAATTTTACGATTTTATTAGGATTTGGAAAAAGGCTCATAAAAACCAAACGAAAAGGAATATTTACATAATTAAAAAAGTAAGGTATTAAGGACAAAATAGAGAATAAAACGGTGACGCTAATTTTTCTATATTCATTGAAAATTACATAAAAAACAAAGGTATATGTAATCAAAAAAAAGAAAAATTGAGTTCTCCGTTTCAAAACGTAATTGCACATAGGAAAAGTCATCTTCTTATCATAAATTTATATAGACCGTTTATTGCAAAGTATATACTTTAAATGTCCAATATATTTAAAAAAAAAAATAAGTAATGTTGCACAAGAAACATAAAAAATAACTCCAAGGCACATGGGAGGCGGCGGACGGATTATCTCATCCGAAACAAGTAATTGTTATAGGTTATAGGTTGTTATAGGTAGGTTATAGGTTGTTATAGGTGTTGTTGTATCGTTATTTTAATTCTCTCGTAATGAAATTAGACTATTTATAACGTATTATAAATTTATTTTGAGATAGAGATCTCTCGCAAAGCGAATAGTAAAGCGCTACAAGGTGCGGGCCGATATATCGGCTCTGGCACTTTTCGGCAGTGCAACGAGGGACGATATATCGGCCTCCGGCACTAAAAGGGTTAAGAATCTACTTCTTGTGAACGCAACGGTGCAACCAACTCGCGTTAATAATATATTTTATGTTAATATATATTTGTTTTACTCCTTTTAGTCTTTCTCCAACGGCCAGTGGTTTAAAGATTTTCAGACCTAACTCGTATAAAATAGAAAGATTCCGTTGGAGCGTCACGAAAACCTCGAGATATTTATCGGGGATATAAACTCCGAGTTTCTCCTCACCAAACACGGTTACGTAACAATAATATAACCGTTACATAACGTTTGCAATATGTAATGTAACATACATGTAACATATAAGTAAGATTTGTATTACTATTTCCTCCGCAGTTATACAACACTGTTATAAAGCGAATAATGTAACCTATACATTATATGTCGGCAACATGTTATGTGTTATGTTAATAGTATATAATTGCAATGCTTACAAGTTTGTAACAATGTTACCGAACGGCAATAATTCGACGTTCTATGACATTAATGTATCTTTTGAATAACATTCGTTATATATCATGTTATTCCAGTGTTATGTAACTTTAACATAGGGTGTTTGGTGGGTTAATGAACTAAATGAAATCGAAATTTCCGTCGGCAAGCTAGACGATCAAAAGAACGGAGGATTTGTGGCCGGTTCCATCGACATCGTTTAAATCGTTGATTAGCTAATACTACGTTAAGGTGATGTGAAAGTGGCATCGAAGAGGTTTTGTTTATACAACTCTTCTCTCAACTCGGTTTACCGAATAGTTTGAAATTTTACAACGTGAATAGGAAGACTATAAGGAAGGTCCTGAAACTCATGAAATTTCAATTCTTTTCAAATTTGTTTATAGGTATTTTAAAAATAGTTTATAAAAAATAATATTTACCGGGTCGCGAGATATCTCGTCAAAAGCGTTAATCGGCCAGTATTGGGTCGGGAGATATCTCGTCCAAGGTAACGAAAGGGTTAAGGTGATACGAATGAGTCAGCCTATATATATCTGAGAAATCAAATCGTCGGGGAAAGTATTCTCCGAATTGGGGTCCCGATTCGTTTAAAATTTTACCACGGGAATATGGAAGCCCTAAAGTAGGTCCTAAAACTCATGAAATTTCATTTTTCATCAAGAATTTATTTACTTATCATGGACTAGAACCAACATGGCGGGGTCCGGACACGTTTTCGATGTTTTATGCTTCTTGGAAGCTTAGAATCGAAAATGAAGAGTTTCAGGACCTACGTCGAATAATTTAGAATACCTCAGAAATGGAATATTACAGAGTCATATGGGAAAATATGGAAAATACTTTCAGCAACGATTGCAAGAGAATGCTGGCTTGTCCCGGGGAAAACACGTGTTTTTAGAGCAAAAATTTAGTTGCAGCTAAACGTCACAGATGGCGACGTTGGTCCTAAACAATCGTTAGAACAACGAATTCACGGAATTTCAACAGTTTTACGTCGATCTCTTCGTCATTACTTTACCGAAATGACATATGGAACGATTCAGTTCGTATAATTCTCAACGTAGACTGTAAAAGTCTTCAACATAAATATAAATGTCGGGAACGGGACGCGCCAGCTTAAGTTCCCACTTGAGTATTCAAAATAACCTAATCATAAAAAAGGGTATAGATGAATTTTAATTTATCGACCTCGATTAAATTTTCTCACCGCCTTTCATATCATCTTAACCTCGCGTAAACCTCGCGAACGCGTGGAAAGATAACGCGAGAATTTAGGATACGAGGATGCGAACGACGTCGACCTCGTTTGAACCTCGAATATGCTCTTATCTTCGATTTGTCTAGAATCGATGCACGAATAAACATTGGATGATCATAATGATGACTCGATTAAACATCGGAAATCTCAATTTTTAAATACTCGATCGAGCTTCGTCCTTCTTCTCCGGCTCTGACCCAGAAATAAAGTTAACGAAGTTTTATGTAAATTATAAACATAGAATTGTAAAGTTAAATCTTACGCGTTTAACCCTTTTAGTGCCGGGCGAAAAAGAGGTGCTTATGCCAAGATAACCGGCCGAATTTTACGATTTTATTAGGATTTGGAAAAAGGCTCATAAAAACCAAACGAAAAGGAATATTTACATAATTAAAAAAGTAAGGTATTAAGGACAAAATAGAGAATAAAACGGTGACGCTAATTTTTCTATATTCATTGAAAATTACATAAAAAACAAAGGTATATGTAATCAAAAAAAAGAAAAATTGAGTTCTCCGTTTCAAAACGTAATTGCACATAGGAAAAGTCATCTTCTTATCATAAATTTATATAGACCGTTTATTGCAAAGTATATACTTTAAATGTCCAATATATTTAAAAAAAAAAATAAGTAATGTTGCACAAGAAACATAAAAAATAACTCCAAGGCACATGGGAGGCGGCGGACGGATTATCTCATCCGAAACAAGTAATTGTTATAGGTTATAGGTTGTTATAGGTAGGTTATAGGTTGTTATAGGTGTTGTTGTATCGTTATTTTAATTCTCTCGTAATGAAATTAGACTATTTATAACGTATTATAAATTTATTTTGAGATAGAGATCTCTCGCAAAGCGAATAGTAAAGCGCTACAAGGTGCGGGCCGATATATCGGCTCTGGCACTTTTCGGCAGTGCAACGAGGGACGATATATCGGCCTCCGGCACTAAAAGGGTTAAGAATCTACTTCTTGTGAACGCAACGGTGCAACCAACTCGCGTTAATAATATATTTTATGTTAATATATATTTGTTTTACTCCTTTTAGTCTTTCTCCAACGGCCAGTGGTTTAAAGATTTTCAGACCTAACTCGTATAAAATAGAAAGATTCCGTTGGAGCGTCACGAAAACCTCGAGATATTTATCGGGGATATAAACTCCGAGTTTCTCCTCACCAAACACGGTTACGTAACAATAATATAACCGTTACATAACGTTTGCAATATGTAATGTAACATACATGTAACATATAAGTAAGATTTGTATTACTATTTCCTCCGCAGTTATACAACACTGTTATAAAGCGAATAATGTAACCTATACATTATATGTCGGCAACATGTTATGTGTTATGTTAATAGTATATAATTGCAATGCTTACAAGTTTGTAACAATGTTACCGAACGGCAATAATTCGACGTTCTATGACATTAATGTATCTTTTGAATAACATTCGTTATATATCATGTTATTCCAGTGTTATGTAACTTTAACATAGGGTGTTTGGTGGGTTAATGAACTAAATGAAATCGAAATTTCCGTCGGCAAGCTAGACGATCAAAAGAACGGAGGATTTGTGGCCGGTTCCATCGACATCGTTTAAATCGTTGATTAGCTAATACTACGTTAAGGTGATGTGAAAGTGGCATCGAAGAGGTTTTGTTTATACAACTCTTCTCTCAACTCGGTTTACCGAATAGTTTGAAATTTTACAACGTGAATAGGAAGACTATAAGGAAGGTCCTGAAACTCATGAAATTTCAATTCTTTTCAAATTTGTTTATAGGTATTTTAAAAATAGTTTATAAAAAATAATATTTCGCGAGTTTCAGGACCTACCTTAAGGTCTCCGTATTTACGTTTCAAAGTATGAAACTATTTGAGACACCCAGTTCGTAGAAAAGTTTTATGAACGATTGAGCTTTCGGATGCCGTTTTCACATTCCCTTAAGGTAATGTGAAAGTGGCGTCGAAGAAGTTTTGTTTATAAAACTTTTCTCCCAACTCGGTTTACCAAATGGTTTGAATCTTCACAACGTGAATAGGGAGACTACAAGTAAGGTCCTAAAACTCATGAAATTTTAATTCTTTTCAAATTTCTTTGTAGGTATTTTAAAAATAGCTTATAAAAAATGAAATTTCACGGGCGTCAGAACCTTCCTTAAAGCCTCCATATTCACGTTGTAAAGTTTGAGACGACTCGGTACCCTCAGTTCAGAGAAAAGCTTCACGAACGATCGACCTCTTGTCACTTTTACATCCCCTTAAGTTACAGAGCATGTAAAAACGTAGGTAAATTTTCATCGATTTTCATAAAATATGTAAATTTTCATCGATTTTTATCAGGACGGAATCGGGCCTCGGAGGTTTACCTAGGACCGATAATTTCGACTCGGAAAAGCGGAAGACGTTGGACGAGGTCCTTACCGTGATGGACGTGATGGACCCCGGCGAGATTCAAGGTCTGCTGCGTGTGCTGCGTGTGCTGCGTGTGCTGGGCGTGGTGGAGGCTGCCCATGTTTACCCCAACCCCCTGCAGACTCAGGGCCTGCTGAGCCGGTGGGGCGAGGCTGGCCAAATTTTTGGCAAGCAACTCCAGCTGAGTCACGGGGACGGGACTGTAGGGTGATCCTGGAGGTGGCGTGGGAGCTCCCCAGGTGTAGCCACCCACGCCAACCCCGACCGCTGCCGAGAATACGCTCTCTGAAACTGAAGAGATCCACCACCCGACGGGGGGCCTCCGTTAGAATTCATCGATTCACCGCTTTTTAGGGACTCTGTCCTCGCGAGCCGAAGTTCTGCGCGCGCGAGCTAACGATAGCCAAGGGCTTGGATATTTTTCTTTCATCTCGCTCTTCCTACGAAACGAAGTCAACCCTAGTCACGTGGAAGGGAAGGTTTGACTCGTCGGTTGTTAAGGTGAAGTGAAACCCCCCTCGAATAGGTCGATTCGAATATAACACTTTCTTTTAAGGGTATTGGATAGAACTGTCCGAAACTTTGACACATCACTCGTGATCATCTATGAATTGTCCTGACACATTGGAAAATTTGAATTTTTCGAGACAATTGTTTAACTTAGACCAGAACCGAAAGGGCGGCGAGCTCTCATATTTCGATCAATGTACAATTATTGAAGGTTCTGATATGAGAAACGAATGAGTCAGGACAATTTTACGACAATTTAGAACACTCTGGTAATCGATAAACTCGCATTTGAACGGGATAAAGGGAAAAAAAGTGTCTTATGCGCTTCTATGCTAAAACGATGGGAATACGAGATCTCGGAGTGAAAATTTAATTGACCTGGAAATCACAAATGGCGCAGGGGGTCCCTCTGCAGTTAATTAGGGCCCCAAAAACATGAATCCAGAGGATTCTTGGAGTTTTGCTTCGATTTCTTTGTAATTAATGTACGAAAGCGACAAGTGGAGTATGCCATTTAGTGCAATACTCAATATAATTCGACACAACTGTTAATATAAAAACGAACGTCGGCAACGTAGGTATTTAGAACAATTTTCTTTGTCGACGTCGATCAAGTTCCTCGACGTGTTTCACTTCACCATAAGGCTAAAAGCAAAAGACAAGTGGGAGCCTTAAAGTATAACAATTGCGTTCCGTTCACCCTCACGATCGATCACGATCAAGGTTACGATGAATCTTTCAGCGAAAGATACCAATTGTGTCCTGGTATTCTGAATAAATGTTTAGGTAAAAATTCTTGGGAGAATGCTGTATACTCTAACAACGAATTAAGCTGGAACACGCGGCTTGGGAAAAGCAGGAAAAAAGTTCGGAAAACGTCCTGACTCGTATCCGGCGGAAACAACAGTATGAATATTAAAGCCTTGTATAATGGGTCCGCACTCGGCAACGAATTGAAATTTATCGCATTATAGCCCTCGACGCTTCCGATAAATATGCAATAAACGAACGCGTGGGGAGAGCCGAATAGATGGAATATCCATGCAAATGCATTTTAATCGAATCCGAGGAGACACGGGCCGATCGCCGCTCGATTTTCTCGTTGGAACAAAAAGAAATTAAACGGGCCACATGCCAAACCGTAGAATTGACTTCCTTGGCCCTTCAATTGCGATCGATTTATCGGCCAGGGCGCAATTACCTGATTTCGGCGCTGAATTTATTAACGTTACATCTGTAATGGAATATGATACCGCGTTAACAGGGTTTCTTATCACAATACGCGAACCACTTTTTATTTTTTATTATCCATTAATCCGTTTGACCAGCAACAGCTATGTAGGTACTAAATTTGGGTGTTCTCGTAGCTGAGTGACAATGTAGACATTTATGAGCTGAATCGCTAGAGACAACAATATACATGACAACAAAAAGTTATTATTCAAGTTGGATATATCGTAATGGTATGTACTTATTTCGATAAGGTGTCGTCCAAAACGCATTTGCTACAAACTCTATATCTGCAGATAGGGATGATTCGATACTAGCAATATCGATACCGAAGTACTGAGTGTCAACAAAAAAAAAACATCGATACCTACTCGTGTCGAATTAACATACAAATGTACAAGCCAAACCCGTCTCCCGTCGTAGAACACGTGCTTTAAGTGGTACTTACAAGGAAGGTATCCCAGGTCGATCTCTCCGATGTGATTTCTTTTATAATATGTCATAGAAGACTAAAAACAAAGCGACACGTATTTTTTTTTATCTGCCATTAAACACTTTAAGGGGGTGAAACCACCATCCAAAGTAAGGCCTGTGAGGGGTGGCTCACCCCTTAATTTTTTTTTTTTTTTTTAATTCAGAAAATTATATTTTTCATTTCTCGTTATGAGAAAACTTTTCTAGGTGGATTGAACATTTTTTTATTTTGTTTTTGTGGGTGAAATTGCCAAATCGCCCCTTGACATTCCTCACTTTGGATGGTGGTTTCACCCCCTTAAAGTGATTAATGGCAGATAAAAAAAATACATGTCGCTTAGATTTTAATCTACTGTAACATATTGTTAAAGAAATAAAATCGGAGAGATCGACCTGGGATACCTTACTTGTTAGTGATATTCTTTTATTAGTCATTTTTGTCGTTAATCGGTTTGATATTAAAATAGAGGTACAAAGCAAAAGTTAATAAAAAAAACAGATCCTTGTTACGTTTTGTCTGCCCGATTCGATACGGGTCTATTTCACCGATAGAGTATCGATGCTAAAAGTATTTCATGTCGAAATGAAAATACCTACGCGAATATGAAAAAACTTATATAAATGAACTATTTTTTTAATTAGTTTTCATCGTTAAAAATCATCTCAAATACTTTTTATAGTAAAATTAACTGTAATTCTGAACTGCAACATGTAATAGTTACTACATTCATTTACTTTTAGAATAATTTAAAATAAATGATCCTATTTTGACTGTCGAAAATTGAAACCATTTACATAATAAATTTACATAATAAAACTTTACTTAATTCACTAACAACATTAATAAAATATCATCATAACTTTTACATGCTCAAATAGTACTTTTTCACTGTCTTGAATAATAGTATTAATCAACAAAACTCTTTCTAATAATCAATGTTCATGATTAAAGGGCCTTTGGTATATTTTTAATGTTTGTCCGTATTCTAATGTTATCGCTTTACTTAGAAGTGGAACAATGATTTCCCGACGAAAAGACAGTAATGAACCTTATATACAATAGGATAAACTCTGCCACTTGCGAGAAAGCACGCCATCTACGGGACCTATCGAAACTAACTTGAACAAAGTCTTTGGGAACGATCAGTTATACAGGTAATATTGCAGCAGTTACTGAAAGTAGCTTAAATAACATCTTGCAATCAGAGTTTAATAATACTTAAAAGCCAACGTAATGACTGTAAAATTGTAAAACACTTTGCTAGAAATATTGTTGCTGTTACCACGAAAGTCACACAAAAAGCGATAAACTCACGCGTTACAAAAAATCGGTGCCGGTACTAAATTTGTAGTACCCCGAACAAATAAATTGCAATTACGAGAAAGTGTTGACAGTGTTAAGGTGAAGTGAAACCCCCTTCAAATCAGTCGATTCGAATACAACACTCTATTTTAAAGGGATTAGACCAAACTGTCCGAAACTTTGACACGTCACTCCTGATCATCTAAGAATTGTCCTGACACATTCAAAATTTGGATTTTTGGAAAAAATTTTTTAACTTGGCCGAGACCAGAACCAAAATGGCGTCGAGCTCTCATATTTCGATCAATAAACAATTATCGAAGGCTCTGATATGAGAAACGAAAGGGTCAGAACAATTTTACGACAATTTAGAACACTCTGGTAATCGATAAACTCGCATTTGAACGAGATAAAGGCAAAAATGTGTTGTATGCGCTTCTATGCCAAAACGATGAGAATACGAGGTCTCGGAGTGAAAATTTAATTGACCTGGAAATCACAGATGGCGCAGGGGGTCCTTCTGCAATCAATTAGGGCCCCAAAAAGCATGAATCCAGAGGATTCTTGGAGTTTTGCTTCGATTTCTTTATAATTATTGTAGAAAAACGATAGGTTAAGTATGCCATTTAGTGCAATACCCAATATAAATCGATACAACTCTCATATTTCGATCGATATACAATTATCGAAGGCTCTGATATGAGAAACGTAAGGGTCAGAACAATTTTACGACAATTTAGGACAAACTGGTAATCGATAAACTCGCATTTGAACGAGATAAAGGCAAAAAAGTGTTGTATGCGCTTCTATGCTAAAACGATGGGAATACGAGGTCTCGGAGTGAAAATTTAATTGACCTGGAAATCACAGATGGCGCAGGGTATCGTTCTGCAGTCAATTGGGGCCCCAAAAAGCATGAATCCAGAGGATTTCTGGAGTTTTACTTCAATTTCTTGATATTTATTGTACAAAAACGACAGGTGGAGTATGCTATTTGGTACAATACCCAATATAATTCGACACAGCTGTCAATATAAAAACGAACGTCGACACCGTCGATTAAGTTCCTCGACGTGATTTACTTCACCTTAACTTGTTCAGTTTACCAGCTTTTTATTTTTAAGGGTATCGAGAATTTCCTCGTATCGGTTTATCCCTGTCAACATGTTAGATATTTGTATACATCAACGCCGGAAACGATATCTTGAGAGTTTCGACCAGGATCCACCGATCTCTCGAACTTTAGGCAAAGTCGCGAGAGATTGGCGAAAGGCTCGACGAGATTCGTGCCATTACGGAAACCTGGGATAGGCGAACCCACCTGTTCGTTCTGGCCGCGATCCGCAGCGTGAAAGCGATAAATTCGTACATTAGACTCGGTTCGCAGGCTTAGCGAAAGTCTTGCCTCCTAACTTTAAGGTGCTATAAAAGTGCGATATATACATACCAAAAAGTCAAAATATTTACAAAACCTTTCTCCAAACTGGGTACACCAAGTTGTCTAAAGCTTTAACCCTTTGCATGCCAAAGTCGTTTAAATACGTCCGACGTTCGGTTCAGTATTGCTTGCACGCTTTGATAGATTTCTCCCATATGTTAATTTCAATTTTTCTTATAATTGATCCGCCAAATAAGAAAAAAAATGGAAACGGCCTTCTCCCAATACAGCCATTTTAATGTCGGTGGGGTGATAGCGTCAAACCTCGAAATTTTCCTTGCAATCCTGTCTCGTTTCCTCAAAATCAATGTTTAAAAAATACCTTACGTCTGGCCTAGCAGACATTAGATGGAAATGAGAAATTTTTGGTTTTTTATCCAACCTCTAAAACTCCACGTGATGGACGCCACCGCAAAGAGGGTTGCTTGAAAAAGTATTGCGGTAAACCTGTTCCATGGCGGCCATTTTGTGATAAAAAAAAAAACGACGAAAAATGCTTACACGTTCTTTCTCCCTTGTATAACAAAGCCTTATTGACAAACGTTCGTTTCAATTTCATTTCTCTTTCTAAAAAATGTCAAAACGTAATTTCCAGACGCTCATAACGGTGTAACCCCTTAAGGTGATGGGAATGTGGCGTCAAAAGGTTTTGTTTATATAACTTTATTTTATATATAACTTTTCTCCCAATTCGGTTTACCGAATAGGTTGAAACGTTACAACGTGAATAGGGAGACTATAAAGAAGGTCCTGAAACTCATGAAATTTCAATTCTTTTCTAATTTGTTTATAGGTATTTTAAAAATAGTTTATAGAAAATGAAATTTTGCGAGTTTCAGGATCTACCTTAGGGTCTCCGTATTCACGTCTTGAAGTATGAAACGATTTGAGACACCCAGTTCGTAGAAAAGTTTTATGAACGATTGAACTTTCACATCCCCTTCACCCTTTCGTTACCTTGGACGAGATATCTCGCGACCCAATACTGGCCGATTAATACTTTTGACGAGATATCTCGCCACCCGATACTGGCCGATCAACGCTTTTGACGAGATATCTCGCGATCCGATAGTAGCTGCACTTATTTCTTCCTTTTAGCTATACGAACAGAATTAGTTATAAAATATATTCATCTAGAATGTCAAAATATTGGTGCTAGAAAGCTAGATTATCGTCAAAAGCGTTAATCCGCTATTATCGGGTCGCGAGATATCTCGTCAAAAGCGTTAATCGGGCAGTATTGGGTCGCGAGATATCTCGTCCAAGGTAACGAAAGGGTTAACCGAATTTCCGAGCTCGCGCGGCTCTGCCGGGAGACGTGGAGACGTGATTAGTTTCCTAAGTTAGTTTCGGCTTCGGAGGTGCCGAAGAGGACCCAAACAGGCCCCGCGAAGGTGCGCAAACCCGGAGGGCCGCGAGTGGGCTTTTTTGGGCCCCTCGCGACACCGTTTTGGATTACACCTCGGACAATGAGTTCGTTAAAGCGGGCCCCACCCCCGCAGGGCGGGCGGCCCTGGGGCCCGACACCCCTCGCCGTCGCGACGTCCCTGCTTCTCGCTCGTCCGAAGAAGAAAGAGCGACGACGCGAAGGGGCGAGACGGAGAGGGAGAAAGAGAGAGAGAGAGAGAAAGAATTCCCATTTAAAGCCGAGGATTTCGGGCTCGGAAGCATTCAGGGCTTTAATTGCATAATTGCGCCATTGTAGGCCCCGTGAAAGGGCCGTCGCGAGAGGCCCGGAGGGGCCCTTGGCTCGGCTGCGAGAAAAGGCCCGAGAAACCCAAGACCGCCGTCAGAAGAGCCGAAAGAGGCAGGGAGAGAGAGAGAAAGAGAAGGTGGCCGCTCGACGCGTAAGCGGGGTGGCGAGGCTTATGCCGAGCGAAAAAATCACTTTATAGAAAAAAGAGAAATTCTCGCGTCGAATGGATCTTTATTGGCCACTATCGGCAAATTACAAACGGCACTCAATTTTCTTCGATTAATTCGTTACCTTCACATTTTCTGGCCGTAAACGAGGTGGATATGATAGATGATTCGTTTGAAAGAGTAAAAAAACGTCGAAAGGACCAATGGCATTCTTGTAACAAGCTACGATTTGATAAAATTATATAATTTCTGTTGGTTTTTTTTTCTTTCAAACCTCAACCGGTGAAGTCGTTCTTGCGTCAACATCAAACGATATTTACTCGCCATTAAGGGCGCTCACCACTCTAGTGATTTTGCAGGACCTCACGGGGACAACGATTCCGAACGTATTTCTAAACCGATCGAGCTTAACGAGTGCCCATATCGAAGATGAAACGTTGACCCGTGTTTGTATGGGAGCGATTTTCGATAAGTGGTCATTTTCATATAAAAAAGTGCAACGACATAATTTCAATGCCCTTTTACCTAGGAAAGAGGTGCTCGATCGAAAATCGCTTCCATATAAACACACGTCAACATTTTATCTTTAAAACGAGCACTCGGTGAGCTCGATCGGTTGAGAAATACGCTCAAAATCGTTGTCCCCGTGGAGCACCTTTTTCAGGATTTTCGAGATTCTCGCGAGGAATTTGGGCATTCCTTAGCAACCGTTGCCGACTCTAGGCGGAGCGTCCAACTGGCGTGTGCGGGCGGCTGGGGGTCACACACGTTTCGGCGCCTAGTCCAGAGGCGTCTAGCCGTTGCGTGAGTCCTATACGTACAAAATACGCACACATTTTTCGCCCGTGCTAAAGACCGCCCATTATGCGTCGCGTCTCTCTCATCCGAGCGAGAAAGAACGTTTTGGTTACCTCCCACCGAATTCGATTCTAATGCCATCTAGCGGTGGAAGTCATCGTCCCCACTTTGGTGGTGAACGCCGTTAATCCCTTGCCTTACGATTTAAATTCCAATAGCGCGTGCCATAAACAACAAAAATGTCGGTCGTACATTGGACCATTTCACGGTTTAGCTGAACGTTCAAAGTCTCACGCGTCTCTCATACGCTTTGTTTACGTTTGGCCCGATTTTTTACCCTTCTGAGAGAAAATTCAGATCCATGGATGTTTGGAAATTACGTACGTCTCTTAGTGTTTGAACACTGGGACGTAATGAATAATGGCTGTTCGGACACGTAAATTCGACGGTAAATTCGACTTTTCCATCCTTCTCGCGGCATAAATAATTAATTATTCAATATTTCTATGTACATAGCATGTGTTTTGGAAACCAAAAATCCTAATATTAACGTTAATTTTAGTCATTTGCACCTCGGATCGGTCTTTACATGCTAAATCTTTATCGGAACCTGAACGGCGTCTTAGGTGTTCGGCCACTGGTATGTACTTACCTTACATGGTCTAAAATTTGATTGGGTTCGATTTTTTTACACGTACACAATGCACCCCAGTTCGTGCTTTCGGCTCACGTGGTATTCGAATTTACCCCTTCTATTGCAATGCAAGGTCTAGATAGCTATGCTCTAAAGTACAGAGCAAATACATATCAACTATCCAATATGGAGAACGTGGCCCTTGACGCGCGAAATTTAAATAATATATATTCTCGGTTTACGCAATAAGAACTTTCGGAAAAGTTTAGAGACAGAAGATATCTCTCTGTCTAACCTCCTCCGGACATCTCCATCCTTATGTTATGTATGAAACGTGAAACTCGTTTTAACCGAGGATTAGCTTTTAGATTGGGGGAACCGGGCATAAGTGGCATACACGAAAATATGTGAAAATACGTGGCAATAAATCCACCCGCCCTCTTCGGTTCTCGCGGTCCAAGAAGTCCCTCGGAAGACCGACAAAGAGGGCCACGACAGGGCGAGGAAGAAGCTGTCAGTAACTTACCCTTGTGAGTGGTCGCGTGGTACGCTCGTGCCGGGCTCGCTGCGGGGGTGGCCGGGGTCGCCGCAACGTAACCGCCCCCGCCACCCCCTGGAAATAACGAGTACAGCCCGTACCGGCTAACACCTGCAACAGACACCAGAGGGAACGAGCATTCGTCGGTGCTCATCCGGTAATAACTACTCCGCGCTCCCCGATAAAGTCCACTCGTAAAAGGGGACTGCGCCCGTTCCGCTCGATATGAAACTAACTCGAAATTGGAATTCTTTCCTAGACAAAGGAACGACCTTCTCGTCTGTTTCTGCCGTCTCGTAAGAGGGACGGAATAAGATACGGACCTTCCACTTTCGTTTCCTTCAAGGTATCGATGCCCTTAAGGTGAAGTGAAACCCCCTTCGGATCAGTCGATTCGAATACAACACTTTATTTTAAGGGTATTAGACCAAACTGTCCGAAACTTTGACACATCACTCCTGATCATCTAAGAATTGTCCTGACCCATTCAAAATTTGGATTTTTTAACAAAATTTTTTAACTCAGCCCAGAACAGAACCAAAATGGCGTCGAGCTCTCATATTTCGATCAGTATACAATTATCGAAGGTACTGATATGAGAATCGAAAGGGTCAGGACAATTTTACGACAATTTAGAACACTTTGATAGTCGATAAACTCACATTTGAACAGGATAAGGGCAAAAAAAGTGTTGTATACGCTTCTATGCTAAAACGACGGAAATACGAGGTCTCGGAGTGAAAATTTAATTGACCTGGAAATCACAGATGGCGCAGGGGGTCCCTCTGCAGTCAATTAGGGCCCCAGAAAGCATGAATCCAGAGGATTTCTGGAGTTTTATTTCGATTTCTTTATAATTATTGTACAAAAACGACAGGTGGAATATGCCATTTGGTACAATACCCAATATAATTCGACCCAGCTGTTAATATAAAAACGAACGTCGGCAACGTAGGCATTTAGAAAAATCGTCTTTATCGACGTTGATCAAGTTCCTCAACGTGTTTCACTTCACCTTAATATATTTAATTCTACACATTAAAAACAAAATGGTATCCGAAATATGGGCATCTTCCTCCACATCCGAAAGAATTGCGGACGAGTCGAGAATCGACATTGTGTCGTCGAAAAGGAAAGACAACTTGTTCTAGACGTGGAAAGATTGAAAAAGAAAAATGAACCACACCCAGCACGCGCGAGAAATTTTTGGGGCATTTTACCCACGCAACACGCATAGCGGGCAGGCACCCTGACAATGTTTACCTTGGTTGTGGCCGTGAGCAGGGGTGGCCGCCAGGGGTGGCGTGCCTTGGGACGACTGGGCCGCGCTGATGGGCTGATTGGGCTGCGCGGGGGCCAACGGCCACAGGGCAGTCGCGGGGCCCGTCGACGCCTGGGCCCGGGCCCCCGAGTCCCCCACGGGGCGCCCCCCGGTTCCTCCCTGGGCTACGGGGGGGACCAACATCGGACCACCCCCTCCCGAGGCTGAAACAGCAAAAACCAACCCTTCGTTACTGCGCTGAGCTTTCGAATTTCCTTAACCAGTTAGCTGTGGTGCCCCCTTTTGCGAGCGCGCACCTATATGTGTCGCCGAAATCGAGCGATGACGAGTATACTCGTCAATCACAGAGTAAGTGTCGCTGTTAAGATACTGGATCAAAAAGATGGGTTTATTTTATAAAATTGACACTTTTATTACTAATGTATATTTATTTGGTTAACTTAAACATATATTACATACTTATTGGACGAAAAATGCAAGAGAAATTAAATGCATATGATAGCAAGAATTTAAATTCCTGCCGTGGCGTGGTATTCGGCAAAACAGGGTGTTACACATAATGGGACTTTGCAAAGGGAACACCAGTAACGGGATTCTTTCCTGATCTTGCGTTTATAACAACGTGCACCCCTTCGGGTAGGATTTTTTGTGTTCGAAGTTCTGGGTATATGATCCAGAACGTGATTCCCGAGTAATTGTGTTACATTAGGCCTAGATGGCCGAGTTTGTGTCGATTTTTCCCGGGTTATTGGATACGATGCAATAGGGTCCTCAACAAATTCTAGCAAAAAATTCATTCGCGATAACGTTCCATTATTTTTTTTGTATAATATATATGAATTCAAACAAATAATATCTAATAGATGGCAAGCTGTTTCAGCCGGTGCATACGGGGCGCATGAGTTTATCTCAAATTATTTATATTTTTTATTCGTTTGTTTTATTCCGGCCTGGCCTCAAAATATTCTAAACATCTTGAAATTTGTGAATATGTTTTGTTTTTCTCAAAAATTAAATTTTAAGTAGCCAATGGTCCCTACTTTATACGCTTGACGAGTATACTCGTCGATACACAAAATCGTGCCACTTCTCCATGACGAGTATACTCGTCAATCACAGTTAACTGGTTAAAACAAAGACCCCCTCCAAAGGAGGGGAAAATCGAGTCCTCTGAGACTCTTTGTCGTTTCGTTGCGCCTTTTTATATAGATAAGCGGCGATAACGTATTGTTGGAATATACCGGACCCGTGCAGGTTTTTCCTCCTGAAAGTCTCGCGTTTGTCCGTTGGCAACGGCAAGAGACCTGACAATAAGGTGCGTAAAGCTGGCACCCCCAAAATTCGGCGCTATGAAATTCGAACAGCTCATAATTCTGGGAGTAGTTTAAGTATATAAAGTTTCAATTTTCTCTACGCCATCGAGTAGTTACCTCTTGTGGAATTTTTTATGGGGTGGGTTTGGAACCTTGGGGTTTGAGCACATAATTCTGGGAGTAATTTAAGCGTAAATTGTTTGAACTTTTTCCGCGTCATCGGGTACTTACCTCTTGTGGATTTTTAAATGGGGGTGGGTTTTCAAACTTAAGGGTGGAAATTTTAATCCATGAATATGATTTTCGGAGAGCACATAATTTGCTGATAAGTTTTCACCTATTATTGATTATTTAAACACATTTTTTAATGGTGGGGGTGCTAGCTTTATTAGTACCCAGCACCCCCACTGAAAAATTGAATTTTTTTCCAAAAACCGAGCTAGCACAAAATTTGCGAACGTAGCACATAATTAGCACATAAAGAGCACAAAATGTTAAGACAAAGAAATTTGAATTTTGTAAAGGTGGAGGTGCCAGCTTTACGCACCTCTGACAATAGCCTTGTTCGCGTTGATTGCACTTTCTACCCTCGAGGGTAACGAGGGTACTACACTTTTCTTGAAAAGGGCAGAAGGGTAGATACACTTTCGTCGACGGCCCGAACGCCAACAACCTCACGAAAGTCCAAGATGACCGATTTAGTAGAGCGGTACGCGATTTTGAGGTTATCCGTATCGGGCGATGATGAATACGAAAATGTAATGCTTCCTCCAGTCTTCCTTCTTGGGCTGTCTTCGTTTACTTCAAATCCTCCAATTCGTTCTATTACCTTGTAATTGTAGAAGATGAAAATTCCTTTCCCAAATTTCAGGTATCGAGGATCAATAAGGGTCAGAATATTATTGCAGGAGAATGAAAAACAATTTAACTACACAGGGAAAAATTATAGTTTAGTTCATTCCAACCGCGGTTACGGAGTAATACATAATTATTGTAAATTGTTTCAAACGTTACGTACAAACCTAAAACGCTAAATCGTTCTATACGTAAAGAAGATGCATTCATAATTACTTCTATTTATATTACGTTGAGACGTTAGCATAAATTTTGTATTTTCCTGTTTGTTGGTCTTTTCAATTTTGAAATTTGCCGCCAAATTCCCGAGCTACCCTTCTTGCCCTCGCTCGGGATCGAGGGTAGAAGGTGTAGAAAAAGAACACTCGAGGTAGATGCCCTCGCAAAACGAACAGCGACGTCTGCGTCACTTCCGTCAAAACGAACGCCAAAGTGTACACTTTTCGTAAAAAAGTAGAACGTGTAGGCAAAACGAACAAACCTAATGAGTATCGGTTAGGAAACTGTCAACCTTGATTTTATGTTAAGGTGATGTGAAAGTGTACGAGAGAGAGGTCTCGTTTATGAAACTTTTCTCCGAACTGGGGGTATCGAATCGTTTCAGACTTGACAATGCGAATATGGAGGCGATAAGGAAGGTCCTGACCCCATAAAATTTCAATTATTTTAACATTTTTTATGGACATTTTCAAAATTACTAATAAAAAATTAAATTTCATGAGGGGCAGGAACTTCCTTGTGCCCTCCATGTTTACGTTGTAATGTTTGAAACGATTCGGTATCCCCAGTTCGTAGATGTTTTACGAACGATTGTCCTTTCGGATGTCACTTTCATACCCCCTTAATACATTTCAATAAACGGAATTTATTTCTAGGTGCTCTGTTTCTCTTATGTCATGAACTACCTGCACTCTATTTCTATACTTGTATTTAGCTATCTGTACCGTGTACTAAGGTCCGCCCTCGTACCTTACTTTTAGCGTTAATAACGTCTCTTACGTGTAGTCTTTGAATGACTAAAAGACGTCTTTCGACTTTAATGATGGGAGTATTTCCAATATGTATGTAGGTATATTATTATATAAAGATGAACAATTGTTTGTTGGCTATGGTTAATAACGTCTCTTACGTGTAGTCTTTAAATGACTAAAATACGTCTTTCGACTCTAATGATGCGAGTATTTCCAATACGTATGTAGGTATATTATTATATAAAGATGAACAATTGTATGTTGGCTATGATTAATAACGTCTCTTACGTGTAGTCTTTAAATGACTAAAATACGTCTTTCGACTCTAATGATGCGAGTATTTCCAATATGTATGTAGGTATATTATTATATAAAGATGAACAATTGTTTGTTGGCTATGGTTAATAACGTCTTTTACGTGTAGTCTTTAAATGACTAAAATACGTCTTTCGACTCTAATCATGCGAGTATTTCCAACATGTTTGTAGGTATATTATTATATAAAGATGAACAATTTTTTGTTAGCTATTCAAATTTCGTATTTTCAGTAATTTTTTGTTTTGCATAAAAATTGAAATGTCATATTTTCGTTGAAAAATTTCAAACGCCTCGATACCTCCAGTTCGGAGAAAAGCTTTATAAACGATTGATCCCTCGGGTGCCACTTTCGTGTCATCTGAAGTTGTCAATAATGTGTCATATACATATATCAAAAAGTAACAATATTTATAAAACTTTCCTCCATACTGGATACACCGAATAATTCAAAACTTTAATACGTGATTATGGACGTCCTAATGAACGAATGCCTTGAACCTCACAAAATTTTATTTTTTGAAAAAAAAAGAGAAATGGTTATTTATCCCGGACGAGAACCAAGGAAGGAAATTTTTCTCGAAAAATGAAATTTCCTGAGTTTTGAGACCTTCTTGGGACCCTTATAATCAGGAATTAACCTTTCAAATTATTCGGTGCACCCAGTTTGGAGAAAAGTTTTATATGTATTTTGACCCTTTGATATACTGTAGATTCCCGTATAACGCGAGTTCTTACATCGCGAATTCCTATAACGCGCCAAAGATATTGCGTTTATCGATTTCATACAACGCGATTCTTCGGACAACGCGCCAATTATGAAAACACATTATGCGCGTTTAAACGTATAAACGTTATATAATGGTTACGCAGCAGTGTTTGGTGGTTTCACCATTTGGTCAAGGTAACTGCAAGGAACGA